AATCAGCGCCGCCCATAGACACCCGCAACGGAGGAGTTAAGAGTGCGTTGCCGACCTTTTAGGGATTAGAATTTGAGAGATTAAGGGATTGAGTAACTTCACTCACACGGCGAAACACAACGCTGTGGTTGTTTCACGCCGGTTTTCTGTGAGATCGTGGTATCACTCCGGTCGAGCCGACCCGAAGCTTGGTTCTCCCACACTTATATTTTCGAAAGTTTAGTCCGACTTAAGTGATCAAGGGACCACGAACGAGGTCTTTAAACAGCTCTATAGCTACCTAACTATATGGAATTTTACCCGAAGCCAGAGACAACGTGCAAAACAGTCGTATTGCGATAACTTGTCTGCCTAACAAGGCAATCCAATTGTTCTCAATTACACAAACAGGTAACAAGACAGACTTAGGATGTTAGCATTTGGTGGTAAATACCTCTGTAGTACCTAATAATAGATACTTCACTACTTAGTATAAAACAAAGTCGCTTTCTCTGTCCCTATATTCATATGTATGCTTAAATCTTTAAAACTGCGCAACGGATTTTGATGCGGCTTTTTCCTTGATCACTAATAAAGAACTTCTTTATTCATCGCCGCCCATGGACACCCGCAGCGGAGAAGTTACGAGTGCGTTGCCAACCTTTTAGGAATTAGGGTTTCGGAGATTAAGGGATTGGGGAGGAATCAAGGGAAGGGGAACGACTGGGCCTCCGGTAACCGGCGAAATACAACGCTGTGGTTATTTCACGCCGGTTTTTTGTGAGGCCGTGGTATCACTCCGGTCGAGCCGACCCATTCGTGCCGAAGCTTGGCTCTCCCACACTTAAGTATATGGGATTGGATGTATGTATAATGTATGTTTGTTATTTTTTCACGCAAAAAGGGCTAGACCGATTTGTTTGAAATTTAGTATGTAGATAGGTGATTAACCCAGAGGCTTTTTGTCAACATACCACGCGGCAGAAGTCGCTGGTGGTGGTCATACTATAATATTTTAAATGCGAAAGTAACTCTGTATGTCTGTCTTTTCTTCACGTCTAAACTACTGAACCAATTTGTGTCAAATTTGGTTTGGACATAGTTTGGAACTCGAGAAAGGACATAGGATAGTTTTTATCCCAAAAATCCCACGAGATCGGGAACTATGTGGGTAAAACCAAAAATTTGGAGAAAGTCACTAATCCACGCGAACGAAGTCGCGGGCAAAAGCTAGTACAGTATGATTTAAAAGCACAATTGACTTTGTAGTTACGCAACAGGCTATCGAGCCACGTGTTTTTTGGGATTGATTTCTACACGGAATAACTGTGTGATCCACGGATTGTTGTTCCGAGCTTTAGGTGTGATGTTTATTTAAGCGAAATTGTATGTTTAACAAATACTAGTGTGGTTAGGGATAATGTCCTTAAAAAAAGGACACTATTTTTACTCGACAAAAACAATGTTCTAGGTTTGACCTTATATTGTTGACCGTGTAACGTAAGGTACACGATTGTACTAAGTCCGCAATTCTACCGACTTTGCTCTACATTTTTCGTAAATTTAGAAATTAAATGCTAACTAGTTTTGCCTAGATATTTACAGTAGGTAGGTAGATTAGGTAAAACCGGTTGTCCTCTAAGCAAACGAGATGCCAGACATAATGTTGGCAATAATTCGAAACTTATTGATGGTAAGTTAATGCCTAAGTGCATTTAATTTTAATGGAACTGGTATTACTGAGGTAAATTACTAAGTAGGTAGGTACGAGTCTTGAAGGTAGTGGTACCTAGATAGATCATAGATAACAACTCTGTCGTAAATTCTTAATTAACCGAACTGTCGAACCTTTGGCTCTGTCCATATACTTAATACGTACCAGACTTTAATTTTTCTTCAGGTGTGCTGTAACTAGGTAGGTATGTATAGTCGCTGTACTATCTAGTTTGCTTGTAGGTATGCGTATTTATTTACTTTTCTAAAACGATGAGACCGCACGCACGACATGCCGCGCAGTTGGTCATTAAGGACATTAGTCATAAGGCCAATAATTAACAAACGACTTTACAACGATAATTAACCAACCAATAAATGGGAGTACGAGACCGACCCAGTAATACAACAACGAATCAGGATAAATATAAGTAATACTTTACTTATTTCCTCTCACACAAAATTTATTTTATTCACAATAGAGTCTGAAACTTACTTTTACTATGTTGTCATGTCCTCATTCCGTCGAAATGTTCTCAGTAAATATTCACATTTAAAAATATAAGTAAACCGTGGTTTAAATTAACACACGTTCATTATAAAACAACAGAAACCATTGTTATCCGGCTTATGACTCACGCTAGAAAATAAATCCTGTTACGAACACTTGAATTTGCCGCAATTATGTCATGTTAAGTAATAACACTACAAACAAAACTTTATACAGTTAATAATGTCATTCACAGTTCTCACGTAAAACTTTATATCTTTTTTTATATTCGAATCAAATTATATTCCAACAAACTTAAACAAAACAACACCGAACACAAGTAAATCACAACTTGAACTAAACTTTACTAACTTAGAATAAGTACATGTTGAAAAATTTATCAACTTCGGAAACTTGCTGTATTATTGACATTAAAGTATTGGATATTATATGTTAAACTTTCGGCCGGAAATAGTTCGTAAGCAATGTTCATTGATAGTTATCAATAAAAAATAACCTTTTACGTTTATTCTACATCATAGCTAAGGCATTTTTTATAAATCGAAAGCCATTACTCGTGTTGTAGAGTAAGCCTTTATACCATACAATAGAGTTGCTTTTGAGAGGACGCCTTTATCGCGTTCCGTTTTTCCACATTCCAATTGGAATTCAGTGGTTCACAGATAAAAAATGTCGGTATTTTGACATCTCAACTCCCATGAATTATTAATTTACGTTTGAAATTCTATTTCTATTTCGTTTATGGCTTTTATAAATACTTTGGATTGCATATTGTTATATACTTTTGCTAAAATATTTTAGATAGGTTATGAATACAAGTTATGTGTTCAGCTTTGCGTTTTAACTAAACTCCAATTACAAACAAAAAGAACTAAGTACCTACTTATCTAAAAAAGTTCAACACACATTTATTAGAGTTACAGTAACTTCGTACTACAAATTGTGTAGATGCTGATAGACACAAGCGACTCTTATTTTTCTTTTCAAGATGTGAAATGAGTGTTAAAAATAATAGGTAGACAGACATCTTTTTTCACCGATCGACTACCATATTATTACAGTGAGTTTATAGTATACCTATATTTAACCAGTAATATAAATACCTACTAGAGACGATTGATGACAACAATGTGGATAAAAGTAGAGACGAATAAATTATAGGTGGCGACACTGCTGTGTGTTTGTAATAGGTCATAACTTAGATTGGAGGTACATATATAGAAAAGTTAAATAAAGGAACAACTTCTACTGCTCCCAAAATTCCATTCTTCTTAAGTCGCTTTACTCATAAAAGAGTCATAACCAGTCTTCCTCTATTTTGTTCTGTTGCTGGCAGTGTGGAGGACATTTGCATAGTGGAATATAAAGCAGTGTGAATCTGATCATCAACCTATTGGCCTATTGGTATACAAATATTTTGGGTAATCAAAAGCTCAAAAATAGGTAGACTGCTGGTTGAACCCAAAAAGGGCGTCGAGTTTATTGTCAACGCTAGTGCAACAAATACAGTATTTGTAAGCAATCGGTTCTGCCAATAGACTCACGATGAGTTACGAGTCTTTTGCATGATTAGGAATAGATTAGGGTATAATGAAAGTATCTAAGTATCCATTTAGACTTAGACAGAGAATATAATTAACCTATCTAAAAGCGGATAAAATTTAACTCATTTTAAGTATTTTAAGAACAATAAGAAGCTGACTAATATTATGTTGTACACTTTGTAGACATTTTAAAGAAATTACCCTCATTTGCGAATTGGGCTCGAAGCTCAAAAAGTGCTGATTCTATTACGTAAAAGACTTGACATTGACACAGTATTTTGTTTTGTTTAGGATTTTTACAAAACAATAACATACGGTGCGTCATCGTGGGTAGACAAAAGTATTAATATTTCAAATTTGGCAGATATACAGATGGCGTTAAATGTATTAGGCACATAATCATTGGAAAGCAAGTTTAGTATGTATATAAAATAACCGATTCTCAATAATATACAAATAAATAGCTTTTCTTCTCTCTCTGCTTAAGTGGTAACTATGCAACGGACTTTGATGTAGTAAAAGCGATGATTCAAAAAGATAGACTTTTGATTTTTTGTTTTAAAGTTATTGTTAAATAAAGTGAATATCAAAGCAATTTTCTAATATTCATATTTCAATCTTAAAATAGTAGGTACCTTATACTATTAAAAATAAAATATTTACTGTTGAAGGTATCACAGTTTCTAGTTCCCGATAACACGCGTCACTTATGTTAAGGTAATTTTTGTAGTTTGGAGTCTAGGCAACAATTTAAGCTATTTCATTCCTACTTTTACGTAGTCATGTTATATTGTAGGTAATTAACAGATAATATAAAAAATAATCGAAGTACTGAAATAGCAACCAGTAGGCATTGTTTTTTTAAATTATGATAAAATTAATAATAGATATTGAAAAAAAATCAATATGAAACTAAAATTGAAATCTAATTATGATTAGTAATTCTTCAATGTAAAACATTTTAAAATGCATGTATTAATTTAGTTGGCTAGTGAATTACACAACACAATCAACACAATAAAGATTACTTTACTTTACATTAAAATCAAGTTTACTCGTACAAGTCAAGTATAAATTCTTCAATGAAGTTCACTCAGTGTTATTTTTTATCTGTAAGAATAATCAATAACGAAACGAAACGTTGTTAGGTAGCGCAGCGTCGTCGTCGCGTCGAGCTCAAGCCATGTCAGAGCATTATGACACACGTGGACGAATGACAACTGTATCGGTTTACTCTTTCTGTTTGGTTTTGGGTGAAAGAGATGTAACTATACCAAATCGTTTATTTGACCTTGATTAGATTTTGAACTGATTGATTAAAATATATAAAACATTTTGAATTTGGGTCCATGCTAGAGATCGCAGAACTTCGCCCAAGTTTAGTTTTGAATGTTGGCCGGGAATCAGAAAATCAATTGAAGCAAGAGTTTCCATTTGTGAGACGTGTATTAAATAGAGGTATACAGTGCATTTTGAGTTATTCTTTGGACACGTATGGTCCAGCTGCAACATATTTTGTAAATGTTTTTAGTTATTAACTTTGTTAATATTTAATTAAAGTTTAAAATATTTATTCCAGTCATCGCGTGGCATAATAAATTAGTCGAAATGACTAAAACTCGAAGTGAATTCAGATTTTTGGTGTACGCCGGTGCAATTTTTATATGTTATTTTATGTATGGAATGCTGCAAGAGAAAATAACTAGAGGGAAATATGGAGAACATAATGAAAAGTTCACGTGTACTTTATCATTGGTGTTAATACAATGTATCGTGAATTACATTTTCGCGCAAATCTTGATGGTAAGTTTTATTCATTTATACAACATTGATAATGATAAAAAAACTATTTTAAGTCACCTATTTTTAAAGCAAGATGCTGAAACTATTTGGGTATTCGTTGTTGATGTCTATGCTTTTAATAACCTGAATTTTCTTCAACAAAATGACTGGTGTTTGAGTTTAAATAACTTGAATAGTTGATTAATATTCCAGAAAACAGTGACTATCATGTGCAGAGCATTACATTTTAACTATTTCTCTAGATAAGTTAAAATTCTAAAATGGCTGTGACCTGCCCCAGCTTTTAACGGGTGCAATGCTAATACAAAATTTCTCCACAATTTCATGGATATTATTATACACAATATAACCTTCCCTCATCAATTACTTTACCTATTGCAAAAAAACAGCATCATCATCATTGATTGTTGCATAGTTTTAAAGATTTAAGCGCACACAGGGATAAAGAGACCGAGAAAATGACTGCTTTATACTATTTAGTGATAAGTAATTTTGCAAAAGTGAGAAACATGTAGAACACACAGGGTATATGTATAACTATAGAATAATAAAAACAGAATGCATGGAAACCTTGAACGAAACTGAAATTAGGACAAAGTGATTACTGAATATACAGACTCATTTAATTCACAATTTTCATTCTAATTCAGACACCTTATGCATATGTATAATATCTATCAAGATTACTTTACTTTTAAAGTCAAATTAATTTATGTTAACTAAACCAAATAAACATTTTGGGTAACAATTTATATTACAATGTATTTTTTTTCTTCAGGGAAAAACAATCAGCATGTTTTTTTATTGATTGATAGTTGTTTGTCACATATACCATTTTGAATTCCAATCGACAATAAAATTTCTATACTTTTAAATGTTTACATTGAAAATCTAACAAGTTCTAATATATTTTTTCAGCTTTCTAATAAGCGGGAAGTGGATACTACAAGAAGAGTATATTATTTCTCATCAGCTTTAACATACCTGCTTGGTATGGTTAGTTCCAACATGGCATTGCAGTGGATCAATTACCCAACACAGGTAACTAAAAACTTAACTCAATGAAACTCATTTATGTGTATAAGCATTTTCAAAGAAGATAATTTCCTATGACTACTCTGAAAAGCAACACTGAAACAATCTGGGAGGTCAGTCTAAAACAGTCCAGATGAAGTTAAGTGAAATAAAAAGAATTGACAAAATCAAGTACTAAAGAAGCCAAAAATTTTCTTATACAGTATTTTGTGTATGCGACTTTAACATAAGTATTATGTGACTTTTTCCGAGTTATATATACTTTCTATGATTATTTAGACACCTCTGACCTACGGTGAAGTTAAACATCGTGAGGAAACTTGGACTTATAATTTCTAATTATAAGTTTGAAATTGCCAACCCACATTATTTATTTTTATTTATTTATTTATGGCTTAAAAGGTACATTTTAGATTATAAAAAGTATAAAATGTCCAACAAAACTGTATACACAGTTTGTCTGTTGGATCGGATTTCAAAAACTAACTTAATAGAACCTATAGTAAGTCAATAGGACTAACTATAGGTTCTATTAAGTTAAGTTTACAATAATAATAAAATTGATAATAAATGCGATGGACGCAAATTAATATATTAGTATTATATATGTTAAGTTATATAAGTAGTATTAGCAGGTTAATATTAAGTACATAAGTATGAAAATCAAATATTAGATAAAAGAAAATCAAAGATAGATATAATAGTGACACACATAGTGACAGCATGGTGATTAATGCTCTAACCTTCTCCGTATGAGAAGAGGTCGTTTGGTCAGCAGTGGACACTTATAGATTAATGATGATTAAAGTATTTTATTATTGCCATAGATTTTAAACAATAAAATGTAAAAGTAGGATTTATGCAACATTATTATCACTATTCTTTATTAGCCATGCATGGTCTAGTAATAATATTTTACAACTCACAAGCACTTTTATTTATAGACTATCCATAAAATTATGGAATAGTTTAAAAAAATAATCCATTGGCTCTGTATTATGTTCCTTTGAAATCTATCTTGCCAAAACTATCTTTATGAATACTGAAATAGGGTTTGTATTCGTATTTTATAATTTGTTAACTTTTCGAATATAATTTTCAGGTGGTTGGCAAGGCAGCTAAACCCATACCGGTAATGATACTCGGTGTCCTAGTCGGGCACAAGTCTTACCCAATGAAGAAGTATTTATTTGTTCTACTAATTGTGATTGGTGTGGTAATGTTCATGTACAAAGACCAAGTCAAGAAGACTGTGGATGAACCATCTTCCTTTGGAATCGGGGAACTGCTGCTACTTCTTTCTCTGACCATGGACGGTCTTACTGGTGCTGTGCAGGTAATCTGAATTTGTTCTGAAGTAATACTGTCTTTGGCTCACACTAGGATTTTCTGTAGTGTCGTGAGTGCTTTAACAAACATACAATATCTATAATATTTTACCCCAAATCAAGACAACAGTTGATAGATGATGGAAATAACTGTTACGTATTAGTATCTGCACCAACAATGCAGTAAAGAATTAATGATTTTTTATATTAAACTAGCAGCCCGCCCCTGCTTCGCATCCAACTATCTAGCTATAAAAGGGTCACATTTTTATAATCTTCCTCTCTACTTTTCTAAAATTTTGTTTCTTAAGAACCTTGTACTGACAATAACAGACAAAACAAAAAAAGAATATGTAGAATTGGTCCCGGCTTTATTGAGTTATGTGCTTACCAACATATTTTGCGATTCATTTTTATACAAGATCTACCCAATTTTAATGTATTTAATTTACATAAATGCCATCCATATTTCTTATTAGTATGAACTGAGTAAGAAACATTCATATAAAGTTAGGAGATAGATAGATCATAGCAGGGATGAGACATTAAGTATTTCTTTCGCCCACCTATAAAAATATGGGGTCATGACCTTTTATACTGAATGATAAGGTTATGTACACAGGTGTAGCTATTGTCCTATTGTTTTATTGTTAACAAGTAATGCCCTCTCATTTTATTTGTCATTTAATTAACCTTTAAGAATAGTGCCTACATTTATACAAATGTCACAGGCTCGGTAATCGTGTAATTATATAATAATGAAACAATGAATTTATTTTTGTAAATAGACCTTAAAACAGCGCTGAAAAAATGAGTACTAATACTAATATTAATCTGACTACTCTGAGAAGCAATGACGAAACAAACTCAGAGATCAGTCTCCTTCAAAGGCCCAGAAAATCTGAAAAATATTAATTATAATGTGTGAGAACCGTGCAAGTTTGTTCTGTAGTAGTCTTTTGAGGAAAAAACCCCTCCAGTTTATTTGGACAATCAAATAATAATAAAATAAAAAATCTTATAAAAAATCAATCAAGAAATCTGAAGACGCTAGTGTCAGTTTACAACCGACCAACCAACGGGTATTGTTAAGTTGTCCGACGAACAATAGCGGTAAAAAAGAACATTTGGGTAGGTAGCCAGAATGTTCAAAATGTCGGAACGTAAATAACTAGCAATCGAAAATCGCGGTAAAGTCTCGCACAGTCCTTATCAATATTTATCAGTCAATAGTTATCAATATTTTTATTTTTAGTAGATATATTATGTTAGGCTTAAAACAGTAAATAATACTTACTTTAATTGAATGGTATCAGATGAAATTTAAAAGCTGGTCACAATCAACACTGTCTACTTGGGAGTAGACTTTCTATTTTGAGAACAGATTTAGGCCATTAGGTTTTTGAACTTGCTCTTTTTACAACACTGCGTCTAGATAAGTTTGGATGATATTTTTAGAATCAATTTATCTATTTATAAATTGGCTGTATTATACGATTTTTGAAGTTTTGAGGTCAGGAATGTTGCAAGATTCTCACCACCTTTCCCATGGGACTAATAACAGATCCCCATCCACATATCCACATCCGGTGAAAATAGGGTGTTACATTGAATAAGAAAAATAAGTTGTCAAAGTATGTGAATATCTGCAAAACAAAACAACAACAAAAATATTTTTTTCTTTAAAAAGTGTATTTTTTGGTCCTATAATCGTCAAATGATTTTTCTTGTCTTGAATGGGGCAAGGAACCACGTAGTACATTACTGCTCTTGCCCCACAATCCTGGTTGAAAAGAACGTGTAGATAAGATGTAGATAATTATGTTGAATCCTAAGTGTCATACTGTGTCATATTAAATATGGTACCCTTAAACTCCGTAAAGTTCCCAAAGCTGCTAGCACTGGTTAACCGCTGACGAACCTGCTACTTTAATGGGCGAAAATAGGGTCTTCTATTAGATTGCTATGCAAAAATTAAAATTCTCAATATGAACACAATTAAGCAAGTCTATACGAAATGATTTTACGATATATGACAATCGAAGGGCTTTACCCACCTTATAATTATATTGTATGACCGCGAAACTAAAATATCAGTAAAATATTACGACAAACGACTTATAGATACCAGGCTTATTATGTGGAGGCTTCATCCCCAAGGTAGTGGCCCTTCTTCGTTGTTTAATATTGCTTCCATATTATATCCGCTCCAGATGTTACCCCGATGCTGACCACGATCCTCAGACATGAGAGACCGACTATAAGAAGAATTATATCAACCGAACTTTTATTTTTGCAGGAGCGCATCAAGAGCGAATCCTCACCGTCCGCCTATGCCATGATGCTAAACACCAATATGTGGTATGTACCCTCTATAAGGTATAAATAAAGTACCTATTATTCTAGAAATTTCCATTATAATCATTGTTTGTATTAATTGTATTTGAGCCTGTGTTGCAGTTCTTGCGAATTTATAATTGAGGTATTACTCCTCAACTATTTTCCTGACCTTTTCCCAGGTTCCTGGTCGACTTGTGTCCTTTAATTACCCTTACTATATATGCATTAAAATGTCTGCATAAATACTATTATTATTATTACAACGCAAAGCGATCGATTTTTTGCAGCTGCGAATCGTTTTCAATAAATTTAGCACAGCACTAAGCGAATGTGTTTATATGTGAGATGTTGTCCCAAATACGTATTTTAATGTTTTATTTCCGCCTCAAAGCTTTTTTCTTTAGTTTTATGTTTAAAAGTTATAACTAACCCGACTTTTCGTCTTATAAAAATATATACAATGCATAGTTTTATAATACAAGCTGATTTCTTAAATCTGGATACTTACATTTATTTATTACTTCATGCACAAAACGTTGTACATAGGGCGGCGATATTTACACATTTATTTCCATTTCTGTCACTATTATTATGCTGGTGCTTCTTATTGAATTATTAAAGTAAAATCTTTTAACAATTGTAATAAAAATAACATTGTAAGTATAATAAAACAAGAGTACTTATCTATTTTATGTTTTTGAAACTGAAACAAAAATTGGACTAGGTGTACCTACTGTTCAAGAGAAAGTAGTTTGTAGATCGGATCAATTTGGATCGTTTTTATCATCAGACGTGATACGTTAAGTGCTGATGAAAATGCGATCAATATGTTAAGTAATTTGTATTCAGTTTTCCATACTGTACGACCAGATATGTAGAACCAGACCCTGTTTCGTACGCTACAAAAACCCGTCAGACTTCCACAGATGAGAATTACAAAGGCTGATGTCAGGCAGAGGTTGCGAGTAGCAATGATATACCACGGCTCGGCTTGGAGGTGGAAAAGAAACTGCTTTTTTGTCAGTTATAATTTGACACTACATCCTCATGCCTCATCCCAGATGATAGAGCAAAATTAAAATTCTGCCGACTTAAAAAAATGTCACTGTGATTGGTATAGGAGCAATAGATTTGATGCAGTGAGTCACGTACGTTCCTGAACCATTTTACCGATTATATCCAGCATTTAAAATTAAAGTGTTAAAAAACCACACAATGTTCGTTAAATCTATGTCAGACAGATGAAATTATTGGCACCAGATTGTGAAAATAATAGTATAGTTCAACAAACTTCAAGGCTCTGCCTAAGAAACTTTAAACATTAACAGACACAATTTTTCGTCAAATGTCTGTGGTGGTCTGCTGTTTAGGGTTTTCATAGTTGTACCTACTGTCCTGAGGGATCCTATGCAGAGGATGTGGGTTAGGCCTCGGTTCTTGTGAAAATCAAAGTGTCTTTTTTCGTACAGAGTACTACTGACTCCTCGTTCCTTCTTCCGCTTTCGGCCGAGGCTGCGGTACCTTATTACGCTAACACCGCGACTTTGGCTTAACATCGGCCTTTAAGGCCCCGTCTGTGGTGGTCTATTAGCTCTTTGAGGCGCACGAGGATCGTGGATCGCTACGCGCCGTACGCTCGGATCTGGGTCTGGACGGACGGCTGCGGCGCTCACGGTAGCCGGAGATTGTCGCTCGATCCCCGACGCCCCGAATGGCGCCTGCAGCGGCGGCTGGGGGGTGAAGAGGAAAGTTCCCTCGCGCGCTCCCTGCTCCTCCTTTGCGCCCATCAGTGCTTCTCAAAAAGAGGAGTCTTCCCAGTTCCCCTCGCTCCGTACCACGTGTTTTCTTGGTAGCCCCCTCATAATGACGAGACCCGGGCGATTTCTCCTTTCGTACCCGAAACAGAAACCTTCCGAAGCTACCGTACCCCTTATCCGGCGTGGGAACTATGCTGTTATTGTTTCACGCCGTTTGCAGCGAGGCCGTGGTATCACTCCTGTCGATTTGATCCATTCGTGCCGAAGCCTTGTTCTTAAACATTGTCTTTGCATTCTCTCGTATTTCACGGCAAGCCCATTCGCACTATATCACTCATCAAGACGTTGACTATGGACAAGTGAACAATTAAAACGTATCCTTTAGTCCAGTTAAAATACGTGGATAATACGTACTCATTTAAAAAAAAGTGTAAAAAAACTATGGGCAAAGTTTATGAGAAACGAAACGTTTATTTGTTCAGCTTGGTCTGTCAGATTGACATTACACTGTCATATCAGTGCGAAATTTATCGATTTTCACCCGGAAATGGCGTCAGCTTCTCGAAGCTATCTCGTTGAGTGTCTGAATGTGTTTTTGAAGAGGTGATAACTCTGTTACAAACCTGAAAATGTGCTGCCGTACTGCAATAGCGAATATTATGGTAAGAAAAACCAAAATGTTTCGAATTTTTTTTAAGTCTGCTTATTGTGACAAGTCAATTCAATTCCGGTTGCTACATCATTTGATCATTTTAAAGGAGTCTTCCTCGGAAATAAGGTAGATAGATAGAGTCAGCAATTATCAAGAAAAATAAGTCAAATTAAAATTGAAAAATATAGAGCAAGTAAAAACTACACATGTTATGATTTCAAAAAATCGTGTTTATCGATTTCTGTTTAGAAAAGCCGTCTCTTGAAGCTATTACGGGAATGTCTGCCTAAACCTTATTTGCCTCTGTCGTTTACAATTAGATATTAAAAGCAGTGTGACTGGGCGGCAAAGCCGTGATATAAAGATATTGTTACATGAACTTTGCGAAGAACTTTAGACCCTATTTCAGAATGTCTGAGTAGCGGCTATTTACCACCTACATTTGAATATAGATTGTAATTTGTATTGTATAAGCTACTTAAGTGTCATAGAAAATTAATCGGGTATTGGAAAGCTGGTGAAACAAGCGATAGGATTTTTTATTATTTGCCGTATTGCATCTACTGTCGAGTGGTACTCTCGCTCCGAAAATCCAGTAATTGTGAACGAACATGAAGGTCACAGCAGAATTGAAATTTTATTAAACGTACTAACTGTTGTATTATAGGTAATCAGTAATACTAATCATTGTCGCACTAGAACTGTCAATGTTATTGTCATCCTTTTACTATAAATAAGGTGGCCGAGAGAGTGTCGGCCATTGACAATGTAACTCTGGTGCAGTGAGCTGCCCGACTGTGTACTGTGATATTAAAGTCAAGTATCCAAGATCCAAGTCTTTTAATCATATTACACTTACGTAATACGAGTTTTGTCATTGCCGACCTATATCTGGTACTGGTATTGCTAGTGGTGCCTATGATCTCTACAAGTATGTTGTTGAGTTTCTCTCACAACCATGGGGATTGGAAGGAATGGGGCCTGCGGTGACCTCCCACGTGTCGAAACACAACGCTGTGATTGTTACACGCCGGTTTTCTGTGAGACCGTGGTAAGACTCTGGTTGAGCCGACCGATTCGTGCCGAAGCATGGCATCTCTCGAATTTAATGCCAGGCCCATTCGCACTAATTTATTGTAAAATACCAGTGTACCATGTAGGTGTATACACTTCTAATCAAGACGTTAAGTATAGACCAGACTTTAAGTGAAATAGAAAAATTATGCACTTGTGTAAAAAAGAAAGTGTTTTAAAAACATGAGCAAAGTATATGAGAAACGAAACGTTTATTGGTTCAGCTTGGTCTGTCAGATTGACATTACAATGTCATATCAGTGCGAAATTTATCGATTTTCATCCGGAAATGGCGTCAGTTTCTCGAAGCTATCTCGTTGAGTGTCTGAATGTGTTTACACTGTAACAAAATATCCGAACGGTTAAGTACTTGCGGTATTCTACCATAATTGACGTTGAGTGATATAGTGCAAGAAAATGGGCTACCGTATGACAATACCGAGCCTAATTGTAAGAAATACCAGTCTTTCCAATTTTTGTCTAGTAATTGATACAATCCAATTCGATTCCGGGTGCTTATTACTTTGAAAAATTGAATACGAAGCTATTTCATAAAAATCTGTTTTATCCCTATTTTTGTGAATAATAATATTAACGGAACCAACAATATGAGAAGCGATTATTTTATAGTAAAATTATTTAACCGTTATGCTAATAAACTGGGTCAGTGGGTCGTCTTAGGGGCGGAGACTGGCGAAGAACAATCATATAGGACCAGAATTTATACATAACGTTATTAATTTTAAAATATCTTAATTCCAGGTCTTCAATGATCCTGTCTACTGGTGTTGTGCTCAGCGGAGAGATATTCAAGTTCATAGTGTTCGTGTCTGCATACCCTGAAGTTATAATCTTCCTCATCGGACTGGCATTAGTCGGTGCTCTGGGTCAAATGTTCATATTCTACATGGTAAGTTAATAAAAACTAATTATGCATCCCGCTTGCTTACCATCAGGTAAAATACTAATTTCTTTTGCTGACATATACTATAAATAATACAAGCATGTTCCACCAACATACAAAATTAAATGGGACATAGAGTTCTTGAGAATTTATTGATTCTATAAACCAAAAATTAAAATTTGAATGCAAGAGTGAGAACTTGCAACCAATAATGTATGTGTGTTAGATATAAAGAAACATTTGTGTGTGCATTCTTTTATCTGGAGAGAAGCTTGAATTGATAAAAATATAAATATTTTAATACAGGTGTCTGAATATGGTCCGCTGCCTTGCTCTGTGGTAACGACGACGCGAAAGTTCTTTACTGTGCTGACATCTGTCATTATATTCGGTAACGCGTTGCTGCCTCGACAGTGGTTGGGAGCTATTTTAGTATTTACAGGTTAGTGTAATCTACATTTCTGTGACAATCAATTGTAAAAGGTGTAATTTAGGATGTTGGATGTTCATGCTGTTTTAAATAGACTCCCCAAGTAGCATTTTGTTCCATTTAAGAGTACACATTTAGTTCCAAAGTGAACTTAAAGCATTACTACAGTTCACTCGTGATGTATTAGCTGCATTATTGCAATTAATTACACCTATACCTGTCTAAGGGACTTATAGGAGTGTAGAGTAATACTTTTATACGATTATGGGTGTTATAATACTCTAACAACTATCCTTTAGTCAGCTTTCTGACTAAGAGCATTATAGGAGGGTAGAGATATGGCAACCGCTGTTTAACGGCCTACTTGTTCGATGTTATAGAGCTAGCATTTTAATAGAACACTTGTGGTCATTCATAAAGCCAAAGGCTGTTATGTTTACTTGTTTTATATTGCTATACAGCCAGTAGCTGCATTAGGACTTGTTTGTGATACTTAAAATAACCTTTTTTTACTATCTGTACAGAAGTATTTAAATGATTCACATGTGGACTATAGGCTGTTAGAAGGACTATATGTGTTGTCCATTAACATCAATAGCAGTTTATTTGTCCACAAGTACTACTCTTATTTGCTGTAAGCTGAACATGAATGTGAATGTGATATTCTATTACACTTTTTCCCAAGCGCTATTGCAAAGTATGTTTTGACGTCACATGCAATAAAATTTGTGAAAATGTATAAAAAATCTTGGAAAATAAGAGCGAGAACCGGTGGTATATGAAGCAAAATTGCAAAAGAATATTTAAAAATAAACAGTCGGTTCGATCGAGCCCGTCGACAAGTGCGACTTCAATCGTTGTTGGTGGTTCCGTACATGATGCAGAAGAAAATATTATGCCTGAACCTGAAAGTTCCCTTCAAAATATACAGATATCAGATTATAGTGATTGCAGTTCTAGTGATAGTGAATAAAATTTTGATTTGGATAATTATTTAACCTTTCGCAAAAAAATAAGACATGGGCTATTGAAAATCGTATTCCTCATTCTGCTTTGAATAAATTGTCAGATATAATAAACGAATTTAAACCAGGAACACTACCGTCTGATGCTAGAACATTATTATGCACTCCCGTTAACGTCATTTTAAAAAATGAAGGAGGAGGTCAATACTGGCACAATAGGATAGCAAAACCTTTGAAGAGCATTTTGCTAAATTGGATGGATATTCCAGATATGATTTCAATTAACACAAATGTGGATGGTTTGCCTATTTTTAAAAGTTCCACAAATGAATTTTGGCCTATATTAGGTAACATTTTTGAAAGTCCCAGGATTCGGCCTTTTATTATTGGAGGTTGTTAAATTTTGTACTTTAGGTATTCATACTTGACTATTAGTAACTAGGCATTTAACGGACATTAATATTTTTTATTGCGGATCTCTAAAATTTTAGTATTTGAAGAAAGAATTAAAGATACACAATTGTCCTGAACTACATCTTAAAGCTGTACATAAGTTCACATTAGAATAAATTAATTGACATTGGCGCTGTAGTGGTACCAATGTGGGACTTCATATAGATAACAGCATTCTAACAGAACACGTGTGAACCTAATATACGCTCACCGCATTAAATAGGAGATATAATAGTTCACATAGCCGTATTTCATTTCCACCATTTTGTTCTACGTAACCTAAAATATTTACCAAATAAATCTACATGATTAATGCAGATTTATCACAAAATACGCTGATAGAGCGAATGAGTTTTGGTTGCATGTTAAAATTAATTGCCGTAGTATAATTATAATGCCAATAAAATATAAAAAACTGAAAATGAAAATTTTCCTCTCAGTCACTTTTAAATATTTCAAAATGAATAAAGCGTTTTTACAGAGGCGCGTGAAAATTTTAGTTGTCAATATGTATACATTTCACGATAAAGTTGCATTCCCATGGCATTAACGTGATATAGTATATAAAACAGGTACTTTGACCGCGTGTTATATTATAATAATAATCCGCCGGAGTTAGTTTTCTCCGAATCCGTGCACTCCGTACAATTGTCAAACTAATATATTGTGGAAATAATTTAGGACACAAGTGAATTTAAGGTAGCTTACTGGAGTACTTTTGTCCGATTTTAACTGTGAAGGCTGTGTATTTAGCCACTTATTACTCTTTATTACACTCATGGACGTTGTATGGTTCACACTGCGTTCCATATAGTGCCGTAAGTCAGCCTTAAGTCCGATGTTACTACTTATAATGCTGTTATACTTCTAATGTACAGCCATAGTGAACTTAAGGCTGTCTAATTTGTGCCCAAACTGGTTCAATAAAAGCATTATAGCAAGCTATACAGCTGATATATAGCTGACATACACAGCTTCTAGAGTACATGTGAACGACTAGACATCTTATATAGAACCCCGAATGCTACTTGGGTCTTGCTTTGAATTTATATGTAAAAGTTCTATTGAAGAGCTTATCATTCACCATATTTGATATATAATACCAACAATATACCATAAAAATAGGTCTGAAAACGAAAACCATACACAAACTTGGAACTCTATATATGAAGTTTCTTTATGATGTGCAGCAATAATTGCTCATTGATTACTTAAACATGCGTATTTTGATTTGTATGGTAGGGTATACACTTGGTACTTCTTCTTCTCTTAGTATTTCTGATGATGAGATACCAGGTATATTGAGGAAACCCTATAACTATGACTATATTGATATCCACATTTATAATTTCAGGATTGTTCCTGGACATGTTCTACAGTAAAGGCAAGTCGTCTGCGAAGAAACTAACGGGCAAATGATGAAAATATTTCATTCTAGAAAATTTACGGTATGACCTCAATTTCTGTATCCGCTAACTGCTTAAACAATACATGTATTAAAAAATTAAAAGAAAAATAATAATAAATTTTACAAAAAGGAATTACTTTAAGTAATTTATAATTATTATTATGTTATTACATACACAATGTTCGAATCCTCCCACAGAAGCTACTGTACGATATCAACATTTTAATTCAGTGCAACTTTTCATACAGTTTAATTTATTATAGTCCATTTTACTAAATAGTACGGGTATCACTCTTTTACTTATGACCTCTGCACAACCAAACTGATGTCAGATACAAACATGCTATGATAATTATATTTAAAAAGCTATATATGTATGTATCTAGTTTTTTGGACATGACACATAAGTGGATTTTTAATGTATATTATTTGATTTCTACTACTGCGTATTTGTACTGTGGTTGTGTGAGTCTTTACCAATCACGGGATAACAGGGCCCAAGTCAACTTAGACTTACGAGGGAATGAAACCAACAACGCACGGGCACTTTAGACAACTTTAAACTAAATGAAATGGACGTAAACCGGCGACTATCTTTGCATGCTCTATGAAAATGTGCCCACTGACACTCCTCATTTATTGTAAAACTATTGCGGATAGTAATGGTACAATGTTTAACAGTTTGATATACTAGTTTTGATCACTTTAGTTTTGATCACTCGCAGTAAGGTCGCCGCTAGAACTGCCATTTTTGTAAAAATAACGCATCGTATCTTATAGATGTTTTATTCTAAAATTATCTGGTTCTATAACAATCACTACATCACTCACTACAAACATCAATCACTACAAACATCGTGACTACTACACTAGAGAAATAATAATTTTGATTCAAAATGTTTTGTCCTGTAACGTTGAACTTTTTTACTTAAACATCGGAATCGGGAATAAAGGATTTGAGCCTCAGGTAACTTCATTCAAACGACGAAACATAACATTGAAAGGATATGTAAAATTATTTTAACACCTAATACCAAAAGAAAAAACCTGTGTAACAAGCGATTCTATCTGTGTGCGGCGATATTTGAATTAGTGATAGGTATTATGTACTGATTTCTGTGATAATTCATACCAACTTCACACTTACTTACTTTCAACCAATTGGCAAATGAACTTCGAATTATAGAAGTGGTCGGGTCCACGCCGGCTACCGTATCGTAGGTATTGTGTAATCCAATTTCCCTCTGTGACAACTGTATTTTTCAAAGCTTGTCCGTGTTCCATAAAAACGTTTCTATCTGCGTGCGTCGATATTTGAATGAGTGATAGGTATTATCTACTGATAACTGTGATAATTAATCTCCAGTTCACACTAACTTTGAACCAATTGGTAAATGAACTTCTACATATGGAAGTGGTCGGGTCCACACCGGTCGCCGTTTCGTTGGTGTTGTGTAATCCAATTTCCCTCTGTGATAAGAGTATTTTTTAAATGTCGTCCGTGTTACATTTAAGCCTTTCTATTTGCGTGCGTCGATATTTGAATTAATGATAGGTATTATCTACTGATTACTGTGATAATTTATCTCCACTTCACACTTACTTTCAACCAATTGGTAAATGAACTTCGAAATATAGAAGTGGTCTGGTCCACGCCGGCTACCGTATCGTAGTTATTGTGTAATCCAAATTCCCTCTGTGACAACAGTATTTTTTAAAGGTCGTCCGTGTGGCAAGCGTTTTATCTGCGTGCGTCGATATTTGAATTAGTGATAGGTATTATCTACTGAATACTGTGATAATTAATCTCTACTTCACACTAACTTTCAACCATTTTGTAAATGAACTTCGAAATATAGAAGTGGTCAGGTCCACGCCGGCTACCGTATCATAGATATTGTGTAATCCAATTTCCCTCTGTGACAAGAGTATTTTTCAAAGGTCGTCCGTGTAGCAAGCGTTTTTATCTGCGTGCGTCGATATTTGAATTAGTGATAGGTATTATCTACTGAATACTGTGATAATTAATCTCTACTTCACACTAACTTTCAACCAATTGGTAAAAGAACTTTAAAATATAGAAGTGGCCGGGTCAACGCCGGTAACCGTATCATAGAAATGGTGTTTTTCAATTTGCCTCTGTGACAAGAGTGTTTTTCAATTGTCGTCCCTGTTACATACAAACGTTTCTATTTACGTGCGTCGATATTTGAATTAGTGATAGGTTATTATGTACTGATTACTGTGATAATTGATCTCAACTTCACACTAACTTTCAACCAATTGGTAAATGAACTTCAAAATATAGAAGTGGTCGGGTCAACGCCGGTAACCGTATCATAGAAATTGTGTTTTTAAATTTCCCTCTGTGACAAGAGTATTTTTCAACTGTCGTCCGTGTTACATACACGCTTTTCTATTTTTTTTATTTCGAAATATAGAAGTTGTCGGGTCCACGCCGGTTACTATATCATAGATATTGTGTAATCCAAATTCCCTCTGTGACAACAGTATTTTTTAAAGGTCGTCCGTGTGGCAAGCGTTTTATCTGCGTGCGTCGATATTTGAATTAGTGATAGGTATTATCTACTGAATACTGTGATAATTAATCTCTACTTCACACTAACTTTCAACCATTTTGTAAATGAACTTCGAAATATAGAAGTGGTCAGGTCCACGCCGGCTACCGTATCATAGATATTGTGTAATCCAATTTCCCTCTGTGACAAGAGTATTTTTCAAAGATCGTCTGTGTGACATGCTTTCGTATTTATGTGCGTCGATATTTGAATTAGTGATAGGTATTATCTACTGAATACTGTGATAATTAATCTCCACTTCACACTTACTTTCAACCAATTGATAAATGAACTTCGAAATATAGAAGTGGTCTGGTCCACGCCGGTTAGGTACGTAGGTATTGTGTAATCCAATTTCCCTCTATGACAAGAGTATTTTTCAAATGTCTTCCGTCTTACAACCGTTTCTATCTACGTGCGTCGATATTTGAATTAGTGATTGGTTATTATGTACTGATTACTGTGATAATTGATCTCAACTTCACACTAACTTTCAACCAATTGGTAAAAGAACTTTAAAATATAGAAGTGGTCGGGTCAACGCCGGTAACCGTATCATAGAAATGGTGTTTTTCAATTTGCCTCTGTGACAAGAGTGTTTTTCAATTGTCTTCCCTGTTACATACAAACGTTTCTATTTACGTGCGTCGATATTTGAATTATTATTATCAACTGATTACTGTGATAATTAATCTCGACTTCACACTAACTTTCAACCAATTTGTAAATTAACTTCGAAATATAGAAGTGGTCTGGTCCACGCCGGCTACCGTATCGTAGTTATTGTGTAATCCAAATTCCCTCTGAGACAACAGTATTTTTCAAAGGTCGTCCGTGTGGCAAGCGTTTTATCTGCGTGCGTCGATATTTGAATTAGTGATAGGTATTATCTACTGAATACTGTGATAATTAATCTCTACTTCACACTAACTTTCAACCATTTTGTAAATGAACTTCGAAATATAGAAGTGGTCAGGTCCACGCCGGCTACCGTATCATAGATATTGTGTAATCCAATTTCCCTCTGTGACAAGAGTATTTTTCAAAGATCGTCTGTGTGACATGCTTTCGTATTTACGTGCGTCGATATTTGAATTAGTGATAGGTATTATCTACTGAATACTGTGATAATTAATCTCCACTTCACACTTACTTTCAACCAATTGGTAAATGAACTTCGAAATGTAGAAGTGGTCAGGTCCACGCCGGCTACCGTATCATAGATATTGTATAATCCAATTTCCCTCTGTGACAAGAGTATTTTTCAAAGATCGTCTGTGTGACATGCTTTCGTATTTATGTGCGTCGATATTTGAATTAGTGATAGGTATTATCTACTGAATACTGTGGTAATTAATCTCTACTCCACACTAACTTTCAACCATTTTGTAAATGAACTTCGAAATATAGAAGTGGTCAGGTCCACGCCGGCTACCGTATCATAGATATTGTGTAATCCAATTTCCCTCTGTGACAAGAGTATTTTTCAAAGGTCGTCCGTGTGGCAAGCGTTTTTATCTGCGTGCGTCGATATTTGAATTAGTGATAGGTATTATCTACTGAATACTGTGATAATTAATCTCTACTTCACACTAACTTTCAACCAATTGGTAAAAGAACTTTAAAATATAGAAGTGGCCGGGTAAACGCCGGTAACCGTATCATAGAAATGGTGTTTTTCAATTTGCCTCTGTGACAAGAGTGTTTTTCAATTGTCGTCCCTGTTACATACAAACGTTTCTATTTACGTGCGTCGATATTTGAATTAGTGATAGGTATTATCAATTGATTACTGTGATAATTAATCTTCACTTCACACTAACTTTCAACCAATTTGTAAATGAACTTCGAAATATAGAAGTGGTCTGGTCCACGCCGGTTACCGTATTGTAAGTAATGTGTTATTCAATTTTCCTCTGTTACAAGAGTATTTTTCAGTGGTCGTCGTGTGGCAAGCGTGTCTATCTGCGTGCGTCGATATTTGAATTAGTGATAGGTATTATCTACTGAATACTGTGATAATTAATCTCTACTTCACACTAACTTTCAACCAATTGGTAAAAGAACTTTAAAATATAGAAGTGGTCGGGTCAACGCCGGTAACCGTATCATAGAAATGGTGTTTTTCAATTTGCCTCTGTGACAAGAGTGTTTTTCAATTGTCGTCCCTGTTACATACAAGCGTTTCTATTTACGTGCGTGGATATTTGAATTAGTGATAAGTATTATCAACTGATTACTGTGATAATCAATCTCCACTTCACACTAACTTTCAACCAATTTGTAAATTAACTTCGAAATATAGAAGTGGTCAGGTCCACGCCGGCTACCGTATCGTAGTTATTGTGTAATCCAAATTCCCTCTGTGACAACAGTATTTTTAAAGGTCGTCTGTGTGGCAAGCGTTATATCTGCGTGCGTCGATATTTGAATTAGTGATAGGTATTATCTACTGAATACTGTGATAATTAATCTCTACTTCATACTAACTTTCAACCATTTTGTAAATGAACTTCGAAATATAGAAGTGGTCAGGTCCACGCCGGCTACCGTATCATAGATATTGTGTAATCCCATTTCCCTCTGTGACAAGAGTATTTTTCAAAGATCGTCTGTGTGACATGCTTTCGTATTTATGTGCGTCGATATTTGAATTAGTGATAGGTATTATCTACTGAATACTGTGATAATTAATCTCCACTTCACACTTACTTTCAACCAATTGGTAAATGAACTTCGAAATATAGAAGTGGTCGGGTCAACGCCGGTAACCGTATCATAAAAATTGTGTTTTTAAATTTCCCTCTGTGACAAGAGTATTTTTCAATTGTCGTCCGTGTTACATACACGCTTTTCTATTTTTTTATTTCGAAATAAGTAGTGGTCTGGTCCACACCGGCCACCGTATCGTAGTTATTGTGTAATCCAAATTCCCTCTGTAACAAAAGTATTTTTCAAAGGTCGTCCGTGTGGCAAGCGTTTTTTTCTGCGTGCGTCGATATTTGAATTAGTGATAGGTATTATCTACTGAATACTGTGATAAATTATCTCTACTTCACACTAACGTTGAACCAATTGGTAAAGGAACTATAGAAGTGGTCGGGTCAACGCCGTTAATCGTATCATAGAAATTGTGTTTTTCAATTTGCCTCTGTGACAAGAGTGTTTTTCAATTGTCGTCCCTGTTACATACAAACGTTTCTATTTACGTGCGTCGATATTTGAATTAGTGATAGATATTATCAACTGATTACTGTGATAATTAATCTTCACTTCACACTAACTTTCAACCAATTTGTAAATGAACTTCGAAATATAGAAGTGGTCTGGTCCACGCCGGTTACCGTATTGTAAGTAATGTGTTATTCAATTTTCCTCTGTTACAAGAGTATTTTTCAGTGGTCGTCGTGTGGCAAGCGTGTCTATCTGCGTGCGTCGATATTTGAATTAGTGATAGGTATTATCCACTGATTACTGTGATAATTTATCTCCACTTCACACTTACTTTCAACCAATTGGTAAATGAACTTCGAAATATAGAAGTGGTCTGGTCCACGCCGGTTACTATATCATAGATATTGTGTAATCCAATTTCCCTCTGTGACAAGAGTATTTTTCAAAGGTCGTCCGTGTGGCAAGCGTTTTTATCTGCGTACGTCGATATTTGAATTAGTGATAGGTATTATCTACTGAATACTGTGATAATTAATCTCTACTTCACACTTACTTTCAACCAATTTGTAAATGAACTTCAAAATATAGAAGTGGTCAGGTCCACGCCGGCTACCGTATCATAGATATTGTATAATCCAATTTCCCTCTGTGACAAGAGTATTTTTCAAAGATCGTCTGTGTGACATGCTTTCGTATTTATGTGCGTCGATATTTGAATTAGTGATAGGTATTATCTACTGAATACTGTGATAATTAATCTCCACTTCACACTTACTTTCAACCAATTGGTAAATGAACTTCGAAATATATAAGTGGTCTGGTCCACGCCGGCTACCGTATCGTAGTTATTGTGTAATCCAAATTCCCTCTGTGACAACAGTATTTTTAAAGGTCGTCCGTGTGGCAAGCGTTTTATCTGCGTGCGTCGATATTTGAATTAGTAATAGGTATTATCTACTGAATACTGTGATAGTTAATCTCTACTTCACACTAAATTTCAACCATTTTGTAAATGAACTTCGAAATATAGAAGTGGTCAGGTCCACGCCGGCTACCGTACCATAGATATTGTGTAATCCAAATTCCCACAACAGTATTTTTTAAAGGTCGTCCGTGTGGCAAGCGTTTTATCTGCGTGCGTCGATATTTGAATTAGTGATAGGTATTATCTACTGAATACTGTGATAATTAATCTCTACTTCACACTAACTTTCAACCATTTTGTAAATGAACTTCGAAATATAGAAGTGGTCAGGTCCACGCCGGCTACCGTATCATTGATATTGTGTAATCCAATTTCCCTCTGTGACAAGAGTATTTTTCAAAGATCGTCTGTGTGACATGCTTTCGTATTTATGTGCGTCGATATTTGAATTAGTGATAGGTATTATCTACTGAATACTGTGATAATTAATCTCCACTTCACACTTACTTTCAACCAATTGATAAATGAACTTCGAAATATATAAGTGGTCTGGTCCACGCCGGTTAGGTACGTAGGTATTGTGTATTCCAATATCCCTCTATGACAAGAGTATTTTTCAAATGTCTTCCGTCTTACAACCGTTTCTATCTACGTGCGTCGATATTTGAATTAGTGATTGGATTGGTTATTATTTACTGATTACTGTGATAATTGATCTCAACTTCACACTAACTTTCAACCAATTGGTAAATGAACTTCAAAATATAGAAGTGGTCAGGTCCACGCCGGCTACCGTATCATAGATATTGTGTAATCCAATTTCCCTCTGTGACAAGAGTATTTTTCAAAGATCGTCTGTGTGACATGCTTTCGTATTTATGTGCGTCGATATTTGAATTAGTGATAGGTATTATCTACTGAATACTGTGATAATTAATCTCCACTTCACACTTACTTTCAACCAATTGGTAAATGAACTTCGATATATATAAGTGGTCAGGTCCACGCCGGTTAGGTACGTAAGTATTGTGTTATCCAATTTCCCTCTGTGACAAGAGTATTTTTCAAAGGTCGTCCGTGTGGCAAGCGTGTTTATCTGCGTGCGTCGATATTTGAATTAGTGATAGGTATTATCCACTGATTACTGTGATAATTAATCTCCACTTCACACTGACTTTCAACCAATTCATAAATGAACTTCGAAATATAGAAGTGGTCGGGTCCACGCCGGTTAGGTCCGTAGGTATTGTGTAATCCAATATTTTTTTCCTCTGTGACAAGAGTATTTTTCAAAGGTCGTCCATGTTACATACAAATTCTATCTGCGTGCGTCGATATTTGAATTAGTGATAGGTATTATCTACTGATTACTGTGATAATTAATCTCAACTTCTCACTAACTTTCAACCAATTGGTAAATGAACTTCGAAATATAGAAGTGGTCGGGTCCAAAAATGGCCCTCGGTTAAGATCGCGAACAGTTTTGATGTTTAACGAAACTGTTGTAATTGAACGATGCTATCTTGTCTTAATGTAGGTTTCCGGTGATATATATCCTTGGAATATAACGGGTGCCAATAGAACTCGGGACGAGCGGCGGACGCAAGTTCGGCACGAATGGTTTGGCTCGACCGGGTGAAGTAACATTTACGTCGTGTTTCGCCGTGTGAGTGAGGTTACCTTAGGTTACCCGATCCTCAATCCTGAAATCCCCTATCCTTATATACCAAATAATCCACAAGAGGCCGGCAACGCACTAAGTGTTCACGGGTGGCATTGATTGCTTAGGACCAGGTATTAAGGCTGCTAGTTTGCCGACTTATCACATAAAATTAAAAAATCTATACTTATTCCACTGAATTCAAGAGCACTTGGCTCTTTTGTGTATAGACAAAGTAACCAAAATGTGTTAACCAAAAAGTATTTGTCAAAAAATCTATAAGAATACAGTTATATGGCAGAAAAGTGTTTTTAAGTTTGTGTTTAAAATTGTTGGCTTCTCGAAACAATATGTCGATGTCAATTTTTATATAACATTAATTTTTATTAATTATGTAATCATACAATATGTCCATATTAATATTTTTATATTTTTTTTTTGCTTTATCGCCGTATCGTCCTCATTGCCAATTTTATAATTTTTTACTAAGTATACTTAATTTCAGCTTATTACTTTTACCTTATTTTAATTTGTTTATTTTTTTACATTCCAGGTTTGTGGAGGCAGTTTATTTTTTTATATTTAGTTAAGTGATTTTTTTATTTATTTTGTTGTAAAATATTTTCGATTCTGTTGCTCTTACATTTATTTGTAAGTGGTTATAGTGAAGTTTTAAATTTAAATAGCAAAATTTTCTTATTTTAACTTCATGAGGCTGAGTTGTGTGGTGTGTTAAATGTACTATATATATCATATATTTATTGACAAACGCAAAATAATTCATATTTTATTGCGAAGATATTGAAGTTATGCCTTGTATGACGTCTGATCTCATGTTCTTTTAAATCTTGTCATGATAACAAATTAATAAAGAACATGTGCATTCATACATACACACGCAAACTCGTGTCTTTAACCATAGGATAGAAATTACCATAGAGCGACTCGAAAAGGTAAACGTAGTGCAATAATATATTTTTAAGTTTTTTAATGCAAAACCTCGATATGGTATCAATGTCGTTACACGAGTTAATTGCAGACGTCTTGATTTTATATTTTATTTAAAATATATTTTATTATACAGCATCATTTTTTAATGTACTTATTTATAGCGAAGAACTTTTGTATTACACAAAAATCAAATTAATGATTGGAAGTCAACAAAACAAATTGTTATAATTTTTTGTGTCAATAAAAGTTCTAATGTCATTATGTATGATATATATGTTCTTCGTCATGTTAGTATGTAAATCATAATGAATATATAATACGTATTAACGTGGTTTACGACCTTTTTGAGTAAGCTATTTAGTATGCATCTGTAATTTCAAAATATCTTTCGTTGATGTATGATGGAATGTTGACATTATCTCCATACATAGTACCTACACAGAAAACCATCAAGAATCAACGTTCGTGTTATGTTGCGTCGTGTGATTTCATTGGAGGCTTACTTCCCTTTCCAATACCGAATCCCCAAATTGCCAACCCTAAAATGCCTGACCACCCAAAGGCTGTCAAAGCACTTGTAACTCTTCCACTTTTCATCAGGTGACATGGCTGTCGACATATCCCATAAAAAAGTGAAATACCTAATGTATTAATTTTTAAAACATTTGTTTTAAGAAATAGGTATAGTGAAGTTGTGGATGGATGGTTTTTTTTCAATAAAAGGTTGACTTAGCCAAAATAGTTAATTTCGACTTTTCAATACAGTAAAATGGTAAAAAAATAACTTTCAATTCATTAATTTTACAAAATAATTAATTTGTATTCGTAATTGTCAAGTAATTCAATTTATTTTTAAATTTGAACATGTCATATTAGTACTTTGGAAATTAAAAAAATGAGATTATATAAATTATTATTTTTAGGCGTCAATCAAAATAGATTCACATATATAGGTACCTATATTGTATTCTTAAATCATTCCATGGTTTTAGATAGATAGAGAAATTTTACTATGTTGTACACCATTTTTTTTAATTACTTACAAAAAAATAAATTACGCGTTTAAAAAATAAATTGCGCATATCTCTTCCAGGTAAAGTTATAGCGAGTATTAACTAGTAGAAAAATGTAAAAAAATCAGAATGGATTTCAGTACATAGCCAACCAATATATTTTATTGTGTATTTAATTTTGTAAAGTTTTGTTAATCTAACTTACGTTTACCAAAGTTCAGGTACAATTGTTCATTACCATTTTTCATTAGAAAATAATTTATTTAGTAATTGTGTATATTTTGTGTACCATTCTACTTTCTATTCAGTGGCCTACGAATTCTCTGCAACGAATTTTATACTTTTAATATTTCATCCTGCTCTCTAACATTTTTGAACGCACACTAATAGACAAATTATGCCAACTTTAACGATATTATATTTATATATTCAGTTATGGAGAATTGTAGTAAGTTTTCAGAGGACCTAGTGCGAGTTTGTTTTACGTTAAAGCGTTTATGACGTTCGGAGTCGTGATTGGCCTGCTCAAATTTATCCACCAATCAGGAGACTGAATGCGGCAACTTGAACATCCCGCACTCAGCGATCTGGTCTGAACGAAATGTACACTCAGTATGTAAATGACCATATGAAACTTGATTTTAGAACTAGATTGACTTTTATGGCTCACTATTTGAATTGTAACGAAATTGAAAATAAATAATATACCTAATGAATTTATTGACTTAAACTCCATGTCTGATTGTGTAAGATATGTTAGTTAATAAGTGGTATTGTAATGTTTTGATAAGCTTGAACACGTGCAAATTGAAACACGATACGATAAAGTTTTTAGTCGAACTACTTAGCCCTAAGCTATTAAGCAGATTATGAAATAGCCTAATGAATCACTATGTAAGTTTCACAGTAATGTAAGTTGTTACCAATGATATTATAAGTAAAATGGTGTAGATAGGTTACTTAAACAAAATACGGTAGTTTCCAACTAGTCAAATTCAATACTTTTTGACCTTTGGATAAACCAAAGGTCAAAAACGATACTTTTCTATGAAAGTTGTATGAAAAACTGAGGTATGACGTCATAGTATTTTTGCGTCAAATCGCTTACTTATTTCTTAATAATTAGCTATAAAATATCTAAATCTTAGTGAATCGATTCATTGATGAATAAAGGTATAGTTATTTTTCAATATTTTATTGTATTGAAACGTCGAATTAATTTATTTTTGACCTAGGAAACTACCCAATTCGATTTTCAAAAACGACACTCTGATACACAATTACACAGATGAACAATTCGTATGTTTAGACGTCAAAGTGAGATAGCATGATTTAATAATCGCGAGTGAAGAAGAGAAAAATATGAAAAAAGTGTGGCTAGTTGGCCACATTTTAATGTCTCACTTGCTGAGCGCTTGTAACCTATCTACACCTTTTTACTTATAATATCATTGGTTGTTACTATGACTTACTTTTGCCCTCAGTTTCGTCTGAGTATTATGGAGTGTAGATGGAATGAGAACAATATTATACGAGGGATATTTGCAAAAAAGTGTCTACCTGTATACCAGTACGCAGTTTTATAAACAGTTGATAAATCGTCTACGAGAGGAGCTAGGAGCAGCAAGGCGTTTGGAATTACTTTAGCAGTTTAAGTTAGCCCAGTCAAAAATCCCTATAGCTACTGTAGCGCCACTGTAACACATTTCAGCGAACACTTTTTACATGCAGTTTCTTTCATCTACCCTCCTTATATAGTATACCTACCAAACAACTTGTTTTACTTTATAATGCACAAGTGTCGTTACCATTTGTCAGTTTTGAACTACCTACAGCAATTATCTATAATATCATAAGTTGTAGGCTAATTACAATACAAAACTTATGTCCAATTATTTATAAGGAATAACATGAAATGTTAGTACTATAAGTAATATTTTTTCAAAAGAAAATATATTTTTATTTGTGGAAATATACAATTTTGAAAGTAAAATTTGTGTTCTTTCACTAGTATTGAGTTCCACATTTTTCCCTGTGGAGCTCAACAGTCTTATGAAATTTGTGGATCACACAAAGAGTTGTTCCGTGCGGGAATTGAACCCGCTACACGTTGCACAGCAGCCAGTCGCCCAGCCACCGCACCAACCATGCAGTAAATAGTAATGACACCAAGACGCCAGTTTTGTTTTGAAGCTTATCATTTTTCATATTCTGTACAGCTTTAATAAAGTGTCATAAGTAGGTAGGTACTTTACTTTCCTCTGACAAACTGACAATGGAACAGAGTATGACAGAGTTACTTTCATTGATTCCTTTTCGATTTTGAGCCTGCAATATCTTAATTAACCTCTTTATTTTTTACTCTTTTATTTCCGTAGAACACAATTCTGTTAAATACTTTATTGAAACTTTAAACATCAGACGGTTCTGTAGTGTTGCCCGTATTTCCCCTATTCTCATGGGGTTACTAGTGTAAAAATATGTCTTTTTCTACTTACCTGTAACTTAAAAAATCAGGTTATTTGTCAAGGTTTGAAGACGAGAGAGCCAAACAATGAGCCCTTTTATTTGATACCTATATTGTAGAAATGTTAAAACTAACTGGATCCGCCTCGTCATCTTGAAGTTCCACCATTTGCGATATCGAGTGACACCATTTAGGTTTCCACATAACTCTTGTAACTAACACCAAGCCTTTTCTTTTGACTGACCCATATAAGAATAAAAGCAACTAATTGGACCACCGTTTTGAAAATTCCTCTATTTTAAATATAGAGAGACTATCACAATTATAAGAAGACCCCCTTTATTGGTAACCAGTTAAACTATCCTGTTGCAGAACTGTAGGAACAGATTCCAAAAGGAATATGCTGTGGCTATGTACCTAATTGTGTATAATAATGTAATTAATTGCATCATCTCTGTATTATTTAAATGTGTTGTACATAAATAAACAAGCTAATACCATTGTAACCTTAAAAAAGCTAGTTTACTGTAAACTCAGTAGGTACAGTTAGATCTTATGCTAAAATATTCAAGTAGAGAAATCAGTCTTCTTAGTCGTCGTGAATAAGAAGTGACGGGTTTCGAAGGTTCCACCACAGATCCTGTAATTTTACTTACTCGGCGACAGTTCATTATTACAATCAAATGTCTTCACAGGTAATTATCGTGCAGTTGTAAATTGATGGCTGCAAATCACTATACGTTTCATTTTCTCTCTCTATTCTATATTTCTTTTTATTAATCGAGGAAGGCTAAAAGCCATCACAATCATCATCATCATCTTCCTGCCCCTGTCCCGTTTTATTTGGGGTCGGCGCAATGTTTTTCAATTCAATTCTGTCCTGTCACCCGTCACGCTATCGCCAACTCCTCTGTCTTCCATATCATTTCTCACACAATCCATCCATATTTTCTTTGGTCTCCCTCTCCCTCTCCCTCCATCCACATTTATACTCATGGCTTTTTTTGTAACATGCGTTTCATCCCTCCTTTTCACATGGCCATACCAAGACAAACGGTTCCCTTTCAACTTTTCAGTCACTGGCGCCTCTTTTAAACTTCCTCTAATATACTTACTCATTTCTCACTTTCTCCATTCTCGTCACACCACACATCCATCTCAGCAATCTCATCTCTGCTACATGTAGGTGATCGCTTTTCATCCGTCTTTTTTAGAGCCCAACATTCTGACCCATACAGTAGGACAGGCCTTATCACGGACTTGTAGATTTTTATTTCCTTCAACCTGAGGGGTATCCGTGGATCACAAGTTGTTCCAGCGACCTGTCGCCATTTCATCCATCCTGAGTTGATCCGATGTGCCACGTCTCGGTCTATCCCACCATTCCCTTGGATAAGCGACCCAAGGTACCGAAAATCGGCACAGGACTAGAGAGACCGCCAAAATCGCAGAA